GTTTAATAGAATTAACTATCAAAATAATGTTAAACAAATTATTTGTTGACACAAATTTGGAATTTTAGGCAACTGTTTGAGCTCCCATATTATTATTATTTACTCAATACTGGCCAGTGCGACAAATTTAACCATTTCGCCACGTCGTGCCTCATATGTCCATTTAATATATGGATTGTTTCCGCCAGAACTGTCATTGTAGGCCTAGGAGTGTGCTTGAAGAGAAGTACTTTATTACGTGTAACCCTGAATCATGGAGGAAGAAGAATTAAGCTCACTTAACTGTAGGAATTAGTTTATTAGTACATGTAGGCATAGAAGGAAATTTTTATTTATAAATACAACACCATGCATGATTGTTATTCCGCATTAGCTTCTTATAGAGCCCCGATCCAAATTATATGAGAACTGAGACGCGACCCATCGAGCCCGAAGTTAATAAAACGTCCGTCGTTTTATACGCGCGAGGAATAGCGGGAAGAACCACACACTTGATTCTTTTGTGAATTGATTAAAATATTATCACCCACAAAATCACTATGTAAAACCCATAAAAATAAAAATATAACTTTGAATTAGTTATTTAACAAAATCACATAAGTTACTTTCGTTTACTGGAATTAAATTTCGTTTGTCTTGGTTCGTGTTAAGTAAAGTTTTCACAATCTGAAGAGATTATGCTTTTTTTCGCGACCCAAACATTGGGTCGCGACCTATAGGTTGCGGAACGGTGATTTAGAGCATATATCACCTGACGATTGAGAAAGTACCGTACCTCATGATGCACCCTGTAGTGCATGGGCGTGGGGTACAATCCGGGGACAAGGGAACACGTCCTCCCACTTTTCGAAGTGGGGGACATCATATCAATTGTCCTCCCCATTTTTCACCAATCTTCTATAGTTAAGATCCACTTTTCTAAGCGAGTAGAAAGAACAACAATTACGAATGACTGTCAAATTAATTTTGTCTGTTCACCTGTGCTCTGTTCCAAGTGCGGTGCGTACTTCCGGACCAAAATCGAGATACGTAATTGTTTGAACATTTTGTAATCATCTTAGTAACCACTCAATCGATTTTATGGTGCAGCGGTTATCAGAGGCTAAATTTATTTATTTATGAGAACAATGTACTGTACGTTGTTAAAATTGGAAGCGAGGCCAACATTGATTTTAAAATCACTGCACATGCAAAGAGAAGACTAAATTATGGTGACTTTTTTAAGTTTATCGTTTATCTTATTTGTTTTTTCATGGTTCGAATACGTCACAAGCTAATTAATAGATAATAAATCATTATTTTTATTAATGTTAGTTTGCACGAAATATATAAGCGGGCATGATTACTCCCAGGATAAATTGAAAAATTTTTTATGATGAGTATTTCAGTGACAGCTTCGATGGGGCCCGGCCGGCCCACCCTCACAGTTTTTTTTTAATTTAAGAGGGGAAAAAGGAAATTTATATTCAAATTTAAGTTTG